AACCTCGTTCCCAGGGTCTCTCCGTCTGTCATCTGGGAGAGACCCTGGCTGCGGCTGGTCACGTGCCTCCCAGATTATGGGAGGTAAATTTAATTGTAACTGTGAGAGGGGTGGGAAAGGAGAGTGTTTGTAGCGTTTTAAAATTGCAACTTTGGGTGATGAAATTTACTGTAAATTTGCAACAAGAAATCGTAATTATAAAGAGAACTCTTTGAATTAATATTTATGTCGTGACGTTCTACTCTATAATCTGGTGTCGAGTTACAATTCAAGCAAGTTGGATCAGATTTCATTATAGACTTGCCAAAGAAAGCACGCTTGCCGCTTGTGCAGCGTGGCAATATTAAACTGTGATTAAACCTACAAGAAAATATATATCTCTAGACCGAACAGTGGGGTTGTTATTTATTTAGTATTAAAGTTTATCCTGATACTCGGACCAAAAGAATTTATTTATTGATGAGATGTGGAATTGCAACGAAATAGCGAGATCTTTTGATTTCCGAAATATCGCCAACTGTATCCAGATTGTTGATCTATATAAAGGCCTTATCAAAAAAACTTAAAGCCCGTCAAAAGACTATAAAATTGGCCCTTGGCATTGCTGAAACCAACGATCATGGTATATGTCAAAGTATAGCTGTCTGTTGAAAATCTACGGTATTAAAATCATACACCAAAGATAAGTCAAACGACAAATTATATGTCACTATATTATACATGTCTTTCAATGAGCACTGTTTAGTAGTGTTCACCACCTTTATAAATTTTGTAAACAGCTTTCGTTTTGACATGAATAAGCTTTAATTTTTTGCTTTATATGCATTCTTAATATATACAAGTGAGATTTAAATTTTTGCTTTGTGAAATAGAATACCGTTATTTTTTAATGGACAGCTTGCATCGTCTATATCATATCCAGGATTGCTTGTGTGTAAACGCATTATTCACTATATGACATTGACACTATCAAATAAATATAAGTAGCAAATGATTAATGAGTTAGAGATAAACAGGTGATTCACAATGAAAACTTTAAAAATGTTAGTAGAAGTAGAAAACTCGAAAATTTATGTCTATTCGTATGACGCCAAATGACGGTCTGTGCGCATCTGACACTGTAAATTTGTGATATAGATTATAGTATATTAGCACAATATAATGATTAATAGAGACCAAGAAAAAGGCTAAAGGCTTACTATAATTACCGAATACGAATTTATGTAGTAAATCCAGATAAATCAATGACTGAAATTTCCTCTATGCTTATGGACATTTCTCTGTTCGGCTATTATCAAATGTTTACATTTGCTAATATTTGGGCCAGTCCTAGACAATACTGTTTCTTTTAAAAATCTTATAAACAAGACGCGTAGTAACAAGTGAATCGGTGCAAAGCGTATCAACGTTTACAAGAAAGGACAAATGTAATGGCCTATTTTAAAAACATTACAACAAACGTTTGTTATAACCGCGCTCGAGTGTGAAGAGAGCATGCATTGAATAACAACACGAGAGAGCACTGCGAGTAACGATTTGCTTGGTTTCTTGACTTGACTGTAAGTAAGAATGTAACAATGTTCATGTAAATTCAAAGCAAAGAAAATAAACAAAAATTAGCAAGTATTTTGAACGTAATAATTCGCAAAATCTATGTTTTTAACGAATATCCCACTGGAAGCATGTTGATGTAATTTGATACTTTCCCCACACCCCCTCAGGCGCTAAATTTTTGATGAGGCACGTGACCAGCCGCAGCCAGGGTCTTTCCCAATGAAAGATCCTGGGTACGAGGGTTGACGTCAATGCTTCCTGTGTGAGTCAACGCTCTATCGAAAACCATAGGTTTCCTCCGAGTACTCCGAATAGGCAACTCCAGCTTTTAGTGGGGGATGGGAAGTGAGGTATCATATTGCTGAATGTGCTGAAAAAATAAAAATGGTGGCCCTGTAAACACGGAGTGATAGCTTATACTTGTAAATATCGAAATATTTCGGTTGTTTCGGCAGTTTTTATGGAAATTTTTCAGCATAACCAGCAATATGATACCTTACTTCCCGTCACCCCCTGCGCGCATAAATTAAAAGTTGGAATAGCCTATTCCTCCCACACGGAATGTTGAGAGGGTGGGTTTGCATGGCTCATTATAAGAACATAATTTTACAAAAACGATTTCATTTGAAAACTCGGCAAGTGAAAACTCTTCAAGTACTGGGGACAACAAAAATGTTACTGGCATTTTAAGAGAGAAAATTCAACATACTGTACTGGTAGAGATCTGTAGGCGTTTGAACAGCACTTGTGGTGAAAGTGACACCATCAGAAAATCCATCAAGATTATCGATTAGCGTCGAAACATTCCCTCCAACAGCATCGAAGTAAACATACTGTAAAATAATAACATTTATTATATGGAAACTAAAACACTCGTAGAACTCTGCATATATGCCACTACATCCGGGACCAGATGCGCGTATTTTCCGTATTTCACGCTTGCGAGTGACATACGAAGTTCGAAAATTTCCCGCCATTTTCATTGTTGACTGTTGTTGTTTTGCGGAAAATACAAATGGTCTTTGGTTCGTATATACTGAAAACGAAATTAACGTTGGGAATAAAACGAAAACATTTAAAAGATATCTTGAGATAAGTAAAATTTATTCTAGTTTTATGTTTGCACTATAATTTAAAAAATATCGCTTTTATACTGGTCTTTCGTGTGCTTATTTACATGTCCTCTTTGCGTGTATTTAATTGTCACTCTGAATAATTCCATATAATAAACAGAACATTAAACGGTTGCGAGAAGATATGGATTTATGTTCTCGTGTTAAAAACAATATCTCATATATATATATTGTTTTTGCCACTCGAACATAAAATCCATATCTCCTCGCAACCGTCTAAAATCTTCTATTTATTCCTTTTTAATATAGATGGGAAAGATCGTTACATATCATATCGTTGCAGTTCTATACTACTATAGACCTGCTATGGGTCATAACAAATGAACAATGAACCTATGCAAACACAGGCTTGAGTTGTTACTCATGCAACTGCACATATATAATACAGAATGCATGAAGTTTATAATTTCGTATTTTGATACAAAAGGAAATGGTTTCACTAAGAACTTGAACAAAATTTTAGCAACTGAAATCTAAATTCATGCGTTGTCCTTTATTGCAGGACAAATACTCATCAATTTTCTGTTAATTATCAAGAACCAAAATTTTTCAATACGTTCAATCCCGCGATATACGTATAATTCATCATCTATTCTATTTTTAATTTTCAATCTAAGTTAAGGTCGTTTCTTTCTTCTCGTTAATACATATAACTTCAACATATTTAGTAATTTGGTTCAACCATTCTTATTCGACTATCTATTCATTCCATTCTTAAAGTCGAACATCTAAAAGGCAGATTTTATTAGGTCGAAAGCTCGAACAAATTATGGAGTCTTTACTTTTAGATTTATTTCATCAAAAATTTGGGAGACAATTCCTTACCATATAAAAAAGTCAAATTTAGTTTCTAATTTTAAGAATAGGTATAGTCAATTCCTTATTTATTCGCAAATATAAATACTTACACAGTTCTGTTATGTCGCCGTCATATACTTTTATATAATAACTTTGATCACTGTACGTTAACTTTGTTTAATATAGTAATTTTAATATGTGGGTTTGGTTTTGTAACTATATATACTTAGTAAATTCTGCTGAATGTTATCCTTAGTTTAAATACCCGGTGTGAAATAAATGTGATTCTGATTCTTTGCCCTAGTATCATGCACATGAATTATTTAATCTGAAATCAACGAGGTAGCCTATGTATACAAGCCTTATGGTTTCTATTTGGGCTTTCCTCAGCACAATTATTTTAATTTGTATGTGTATAAAAAAAATTATACATATAGGCTACAAAAATAATTGTGGTGAGGAAAGCCCAAATAGAAACCATAAGGCTTGTATACATGGGCTACCTCGTTGATTGTTGGTATACTTGTATAATTATGTTTATTATATATAGTAGAGAGTGAGATACTGAAAAATACACAGTGATCGATATTTTCCATATATCATCACTAGTGAAGATATCGATCACGTCACGTCGTGACTTTTTCCAATTTGCTTTTGAGCGTGAAATTTCACAATTTTTTGCTTGGGACTATATAATAAACAGAACATTATACACGGTGGCTTGAAGATATGACTTTTATCTTCTCGTGTTAAAAACAATATTTTACTCACTCGCTGCGCTCGTTCGTAAAATATTGTTTCCACCACTCGAAAATAAAAGTCATATCTTCGCGCCGTCGTGTAATATCCTCTCTCTATATATTTTTTGTGGTAAATCAAATAAATTATTATTAAAATCATTAAGTTCATTCATAAGAGTACGGAACCGATCCTATCCTGCATGGGGTCACTGAAATGTCTGCCCGAATTTTTATGGAGAATTTTAATAATTCCCCAGCATTTTTCCAACTTTCCTCCGTTTTCTAATTCCTTTCAGCGGGAGGAGGGGGCACTATCGTCCTGTCTCGTACGCCGATGCGCTCATTTCATAAAAAAAGGGATAAACTGAATGAACAGCATTTTCTGTGTCGAAAGAAAACTTGACACTTATATCTGCAAATGCATTTTACATCAGGCTTTTTATGCGACAATAATCAATATATACTTACACTTTCATCGAGATTATCTTTCGTAATGTGTTTTGCATAAACGTTCTCAGCATACTCCGCCATTTTCTAAAAATATATATATAAGATTTCGTTTTTATCAGTTTTCTTTTATTATTAAGTTTATAAGGCTGTAAAGACAAATTTATATAATAATTATATATATACCGACTGCATGACGAAAGCTATATGATAGCCGAAACGTACATATACGTAAAATTGTTGTCAGAAATTGTCTAAAGTTCAAACCACATGGATTTACTGGGAGGGGGCATGGGGGAGGGGTGCTAATTTTCATGATAAAGCAAAACAATATTAGAGAGATGAGATACAGTAATTTGAGTATAACAACATAATGACAAGCAAACTGTGAACAACAATTACAATTCAAATACAATAGTCAAGCAAGCGACTTGAGCTGGCAGAGCATCATGCTGGATCCATCAATAATGACGCCATGTTTTACGTCTTTTCATACTAAGGCTAAGCCGTTATACTAGTTTCGACAAGGTTTCGCAAAACGAGCTCAAATAGTCGGGAAAATAAGTTAAAGGTAGCCTACAGACGGTGCCGCGTTCATGCACACGAAGACCAAACTGCATTTCAAATACTGCGCATGTGTTATGGGGTATGCAATGCTCTACAAATTTAACAGTCACTATATTGCACGCCTTCTAAATCGATTAAAATGCAGTCCCGTAGTGTTTTCTGCCTTGAGTTTCAAGTGTCTCAAATGTCTCAAGTGGGTACATGCACTTGTAGATGATTTTGACATAACAGGAAATTAATATATCCTAGATTATTTTCATGCTCGTTATCATGACAAATATACAAAGAAATTTCTTCTTTTTATTGCATAATATTAATTTAAGTTCACTGTTACAGATTGTGATATTATAGCAAAACTAGAAAAAGAAGAAAAACCCCATAAAATTTGTCAAAGCTTCTGGTGAAAACCAATCTTATCCAGATATTAGAAGAATGAAAAAATACGTTTTGCTCACTGAAGTTGCTTGATCTTAAATTGAATATTAGAAATTAATATTGCGGTTTTGTTGATAACTATGTATACTATACAGTATATTTATAGTCATTAAGAACCGCCTTGTTTAAGTGCTTCATATATTACAAATTTATTATTAAAAGCGGCTTTATTCACAACAAAGCAGCGTTTAATTTAACCTGAAGTTCAGGCCCTAATTTGAAATAGGGCCTGACACAAAACCTGTCTAGACCGTGGGACGCCCACATGTTATTTTTAGACACACATGCAATATGATTGACAAGTGTTGTAGATTTCGTTACACAAAAAAATTATATTCTCATGAACATGTCCGCAGAGCATTTTGCTTTTTAATTAAACTTAAAAATTCAAGGTACTTTTATATAATTAAGAGTCAGTTTCTCTATTTAACCGAACAGGCGAACAGCAAACAAAGATTTAATTAGTCAGTTCTGTGCACGGCTTGACTGCCAAGCTTTCTCAAGGTCTCAACTTGCTGGACGCGGATATACTCTAACGACTAACGGGCTAATAACAGCAACAATTAAATTCTCAATCATACCACGAAGAAGGCGATGTAGCTCAGAAAACAATTACGACGGTACGACCTGATATTAAAAATAAGACTTTTGCCGGCGAAGCAAGTTGGCAGAACATCTTGGCTGTCAACAACAAGCTTTCGAATACATGACTAGTTTGGCTGTTCTTTCAGCGTCGTGTGTGTCCAAATTCGTCAAAGATTTTGATGAAGCCCTTTCAAAATACTGTTTGTTTGATTTATTTTCTGCCATAAAGCATAAAAGAAAAGAAATTCGAAGAAATCGATAATGGATTAATTCTCGCCTTGACCGAGCTATTTTTAAAACTGTTGTTTATGTGAACTTGCAACCAATCAAAATCCTTCATGATGCTGATCAACCAATCAGATTTCCCGTCCACCAGGTGGACGGGAATCCCACACTTTAGATAGGTTTTGTGTCAGGCCCTATTCTGTGATAGGGCCTGAACTTCAGGTTACGTTTAATTCAACATCACAGCCATTGAAACTCTCCCGAATTAGCATATCCGACGAAGCATGAGTTTGACATTTTGTAAAAACTCGTCTTCATCAAAGGGGGGGGAGTGAACGAAAATATAACATTCGAAACGTGTTTCATTCTATTGATAACATTTCTTGGTTAAGTCGAACCCTATTTAATGGACACCCATCTTAAGCGGGCATATACCTCCGGACCCAATGATTTCCTTACACTAAAACATCATCATTACAATTTATAATAATTCATATAATTTATTACACTTTGCCTCAACATGCATCAGCTGGCTTGGAAACCGCAACAGCTACGGCCATTTACTGTGGATCCATTATAATACATCAAGTTTAATATCAACTAATAATATTAACGACTACAATTACCAACAAAACATACAAACATATACAAACATTATCATGATCCATCGCGTACGATTCGCCTTCTGGCGTATTACCCCTATTCACCAGTCACCAATGAGCCGAATAACCTCTAATAAGCAGACAAACGTAATTGATCAATGGAAACATGTTGAATTAATTAATGTTCATAACAATTAATCAACAGTAAACTTCAATATTTTAGGAATTTTCAATTTTTAGGCATGTACTTATTTTGAGTTTTTCTGTGTTGGTGTTCTAATAATGTTTTGCAGTGTTTCTAAGTATATAGACGCTGATATAACTTGAACTTATCTTCTCCTAAACCAAACTTTTCTTTCTTTAATTTGTCTTTCAACCAACTGCAAGAAAAACTGTCTCCTCGAAACACTAAATATTTAACTTTAGAGCACCGTGGCGTTTAAACGAATAAATGCGGTACTAGATAATGGCATGAATTTGACCTGCCTTATACTGTCAAACTATATATCATCATTTTAAGCCAATTTTTACGCAAAAACGATATATACCGTTATATATGCGCCATGCGCCGCATGGATGGCTGCATTTTTATACCTCTCCTAAATTTTATATATTTGATGTTTTAAAATGTTGTTTGAAGTTAACCATCGACTTGTAAGCCTTGCTAAAAACATTATTAAACCTAAATGGCCAAAATACCGTGGAAATAGAGCGGGTCGTGCAGTTCTGGAACGAAATCTACGACATCGAGCTCAAATTGAAGTTATTCAACGCCATGCGGTCAACCAAAACGTATCCGTACGGAATCATACACGGCGCCATAACATTGCTAACTGCATAAAAATCAACGTGGAACCACCTGCAAATAGGAGGAGATCTCCATCAACTTTTGTTCCGTCGTTATATCTATCAAATGTTATGTCCTTGGCCCCGAAGATCGATGAAATTCGGCATTTTGTAAGCCAAGCCAATGTGGACCTTATTTGCATAACAGAGACGTGGCTTAAAAGCCATATTGACGACAATATAATCGACATTGGGGGTTATAGCGGGGTGCGGAGAGACAGAATTGGCATTGACCACGGTGGCATATGTACGTATATTAAAAATAACATCAATTTTGCCCTCCTAGATGATCTGCAAAACCCAAACTATGAAGTTCTCTGGTTAACGTTACGACCGGCGAGACTCCCAAGGGGATACAGCTCTATTGTTTTAGGAACTGTTTACCATCCGCCAAGTGCTAATGACCGGGATTTACTGCAATATCTTTATTCATGCCTCTCATTGATCGAATCTCGTTTCTTTAACTGCGGAATCTTGTTGGTTGGTGACTTTAACAGGTTGAATATTTCCAGGCTGAGAAACAACTACAACCTTAAGCAAATTGTAAATTTTCCAACACGCGGCTCCAGAACCCTGGACTTAGTGTTAACTAATCTAAAGCAATTTTACAAAGATCCTATCCAACGATCCCCTCATGGTTTATCTGACCACATGTCAGTCGAAATACAACCTAAGAATAGATTGCAGCTGCCAGACCAGCGCCGAACCATTAAATCAAGAGACCTTAGACCGAGCAATCGTCTCGCGTTGAGTTCGTATCTCGAGACTGTTGATGTTAATGCACATACTAATACGGTCAACTCCTGCGCGGAAAAAGTTGCAATTCTTGAATCAATTGTTCAAGTGGGGTTGGATTATGTATTACCCTTACGATCTAAAACGATATATCCCGGCGAACCACCTTGGGTCAGCTCGACCCTGAAAGATCTCATTCGACGTCGCCAGAGGGCTCTCATGCAAGGTAACCTTCCATCGTTCCGTCTTCTCAGAAATCGAGTGAACCGTGAACGCAAGACCTGTAGAGCGAAATATTATGACACTAAAGGCCGGATTCCACGAGGCGGAATTTTTCGACCGAAACGAAATTTCTCTTTGTCTTTTTACAATTAGTTCTGCTCGAGAGCTCTGAAACAAAGAGAAATTTCGATTCGGTCGAAAAATTTCGCCTAGTGGAAAACCGCCTTAAGGCCGGATTCCACGAGGCGGAATTTTTCGACCGAAACGAAATTTCTCTTTGTCTTTTTACAATTAGTTCTGCTCGAGAGCTCATAAACAAAGAGAAATTTCGATTCGGTCGAAAAATTTCGCCTAGTGGAAAACCGCCTTTACATGAGCTCTCGAGCAGAACTAATTGTAAAAAGACAAAGAGAAATTTCGTTTCGGTCGAAAAATTCCGCCTCGTGGAATCCGGCCTTAAGGCAGCGTTTACACTGTACCGTTTTCGTAGCGTTCTCGTATTGTTCTTAATCCTCAAGGGAACGCAAGACAATAGTCTAGTTCTCTCGAACAATACGAGAACGCTACGAAAACGGTACAGTGTAAACGCTGCCTAAAGTGGCACATTTGAAAGATTGTAATCCATCCTCATGGTGGAGTGAAGTCAAGAAACTAAGTGGCCTATCTTCCATGTCCTCTAGCATAAGTGACCTTGCAAATCATCTTCAGTGTTCTGATGGGACCCCCGAAGACGAAGTTTTGGCGAAAACAATCAACGAAGCCTTTTTATCTCCAATGCGTATCTTTGAACCCTTGCCGAATGATTATGATCCCCAGCATAATGACCCATCTGCAGAACCATCAGCAGTTCCATACATGGTCACCGCCGACAGGGTTTATTTAAAGCTCTCCTCCCTCAATCCAAAGAAAGCCACCGGACCAGATGGCATACCAGCTTGGCTGCTTAAGGAGAATGCCGATTTATTATTGGCTCCTATAACAAGCATTATCAACTCTTCCTTTAGCGAAGGACGTCTCCCTCCATCATGGAAAAGTGCCGATATTGTTCCTATTCCTAAACAGAAACAAGTCCGGGACATTAACAAAGATTTACGCCCAATATCGTTAACACCGGTTCTATCCAAAGTAGCCGAAGAGTTTGTTGTAGAGGGGCATGTGCGACCGGCTGTAATAAAGAAGATCAACGATAACCAATTCGGATGTATACCGAAATCTTCCACTACGCAAGCTTTACTCAACATGGTGCATACTTGGACCAAACATACTGACGGTTCTGGATCAGCAGTGCGGGTCGTACTTTTCGACTATAAGAAAGCATTCGACCTGATAGACCACAGTATCCTGGCTTCTAAGTTGTCCACCCTCAACTTACCGCATTCTATCTTGAGCTGGATATTAGACTATCTTAAGAATCGCAAGCAAAGGGTTAAACTTGGTCAGGACTGTAAATCTGAATGGGGTGATATACCAGCAGGGGTACCCCAAGGGACCAAGCTGGGCCCGTGGCTTTTCGCCTTAATGGTCGATGATATCGATGTCACCAACACAGATCTATGGAAATATGTAGATGATACTACAATCGCGGAAAATGTTGCAAAGAACCAGGCAAGTAGAATCCAAGACGATGTTAATGAGCTTATAACAAAATCGGGTGAGAATAAATTCCAATTAAATGAAAAAAAGTGTAAAGAAATGCGAATATCGTTTGCAAAGTCGCCTGCAGATTTCAACCCAATCATCGTTAATGGAAAAGCTATCGAGCAAGTTTCATGTGTCAAGCTACTTGGATTGAACATTACGAGTGACCTGAAATGGAACCACCATATATCGGAAATATCGCGAAAAGTGTCCAAAAGACTCTACTTCCTCAGACAATTGAAGAGAGCAAGAGTCGCAAATAAGGATCTGGTAATCTTTTACATCCCATGCATTCGGCCCGCCATGGAATACGCCTGCCCTGTCTACCATAATTCACTGCCCAAATATTTGTCTGATGAACTTGAAGCCCTACAGAAGCGCGCCATGAGAATTATTTTCCCATTTGTTTCTTATTTTGAAGCATTAGAACTCGCTAAATTAGAGACAGTGTATATTCGTAGACAGACTCAAACAACTAACCTTTTTCAGGAAATTAGTAATAATCCAGAACATAAACTATATCGATTTTTACCGAAGTTAAATAAATGTAATTTTAAGCTTAGGAATACTCGTAAATTTCAAGTTCCTGTCTGTAAAACTAACAGACTTCAGAACAGCTTTTTTTATAGTAATTGTACATAGTTTAGTCGTACTTAGATCTTTTAATTGTATTTTTGATGTTATTGTAAATTCCTAATCTAATTCAGCTCAATTTTGGCTGTAAATTTTGGGATCATTAAACTATCTATCTATCTATCTAAATGATATTAAATACTGTTATATATGATATTAAATATGCCATACTTAACAAATATATAAAACATTTTCCGTGTTGATATACAGTTATATCAACACGAGTGGAAATTGGGAAAACGAGTAGATCGAACTGTATGTCAGTACGGAAAAATGTTTTATAGTTTTTTATGATATAGCACAAAGAAATATAAAGGAAGAAATTTTCCGTTTTGACATTGAGTTATGTCAACACGGCTCTTTAGCCAAACAGTGTTCAGAATTTACAAATGAGCTATTATAATGCCAGTAACATATACATATAATCTGGATAATTTAACCAGGAAATTACATTAAGGAAGCCCAGATTCATGGTTACATTCACCAGACTATGGTAGGAAGTGAGATAAAATAACCAGGAAATTACACCAGGAATATTAAATTAACCCAATACACCCTATGAATACACCCTTTCGATAATTACGTCACAACTACACTGTTTTCAACTTAAGACCACCTTAAATGAAAAGGATTTCAAGTTGTTTTTTCTCATGGGCTATGCACAGAGAAGCGGAACATCCCTCTTCAACACATGCATGAAAACTATTTTTGGATTTTGATCAATAAATATGGAAATAAGCATTAACACGAAAACGAGGAGCCTCGTTTTCGTGTTAAGCTTATTTCCACATTTATTGGTCAAAATAAAGAATTCTTTTTCATGCATGTGTTGAAGAAGGATGTTCTGCTTCTCTGTGCATAGCCCATGAGAAAAAAACTTGAAATTCTTTCCATTTAAGGTGGTCCTAAGTTGAAAACTGTGTAGTTGTGACGTAATTATCGAAAGGGTGTATTGGTACATTTCTAAGTTACCCAGGGAAATTTGAACCAGGGTGTTTTTAGAGTGTACATATAAGTTATATAATATAACATATCTATCTACAGTTGCCTGACAATCCTTTCTTATACTAGTCGCTTTTATCATGATATATTGATCACTCGGACCTCTCCTCTCTGGAAATTTATAAACCAAAACATGCTTATGATATATGTATTGTAATCACAATGATCAACAATGTATTGTGATCACAATAATTGACAATGCACCCTAAGAAATGCATAATTTCTTGTTATTTCATAAAGATACAGTATAGTTAACAGATGGCAATGAGAGCGTTATTGGGGGCCCTGGGACAAGGGGTTGTTGACATCATGCCTAAATATCCTGTCTCTCCCTCCCTTGGGGGAATATCCATTAGCCCTTCCCATGCTTGTTACGCATCGGCCCATCATGATGCTGGTGGTGTGCATATTTCATGTTGCCAGACGGTTGTCTTAGTCTATTGTAGTGCTTTATCCAACAGCATTGCCTTATCTACAGCATTGTCCTAGCTACCCCTATATCATTGCATTTTGCCTGCCGTATTGCCTTATGCCTATAGCCTTGCCTTTGTCTAGTACATATATAGCCTTGCCTTCTGTCTATAGCCTTGCCTTCTGCCTATAGCCTGTGCCTTATGCCTGTACCTAATGCCTTGTGTTAGGACTTTGCCAATCCCACAGCATTAGCTATATTTTTTGTTTTGTTTGCATGCCAGAATTTGCCTTGTGGGGTATATACATGCCATACAGCATTGCTTTCATGGTCTGATTGTTATAGTTATATAGGCAATTCCAGCTTTTAGTTTATGCATGCAGGGGGGATGGGAAGTAAGGTATCATATTGCTGATTATGCTGAAAAGATAAAAATGGTGGCCGTGTAAACACGGAGTGATAGCTTATATTAAGTCTTGTAAATATTAAAATACCGGTATTTCGGTTGTTTTTATTGAAATTTTTCAGCATAATCAGCAATATGATACCTTACTTCCCAGCACCACCTGCACACATAAATTAAAAGCTGGAATTGCCTATTGTACATACCTAATTGTTAAATGTAGTTCAAGTTTTTTATGGCGATCATTGCTTGGGGGTGGGCCTGCTACTATTTAGAGGTTTATTTTATGTTCCAGTATGTGTGTTTTGTACATCCATTTACTTTGCTCAGTGTGGCAGTAAGGCAGCCACCTTGATTTTTTTGGCAGTAAATATTGTGAGTAGGATTCCCAGGTAATTAGGCATAGAGTCATATTTGGGGATTTCAAAAAATAGAGTAAGGCGTAAAAAAAAATACCTGTGGTTCCGGTTTCATATCGTGAAAAAATTAGGGTCGGTAGGTCGGAAATAAGTTGTTTTTTTGAATATTTTTTTCATGGTTTTGGCAGTTTTTTGCTGGGCGATTTGCAGTAGAGTCCCAACATCAATATTAACTAGAGATGAGTATTTCCTATGGACGAATTTAGGCAATTTGGTTCAATAATTAGTGTGACAACAGATGCCATTTTGGCACGCTGTACGAGCAGCCCGCAACCACCTGGAGAAAATAGGGTCGCACAGTCAATCGCGTTGAAAAAATAATAGGGTCGGCAGAAAAAAATAGGGTCGGTCGGGAACCGGAACCACAGGTATTTTTTTTTTACGTCTAAGCAATGATCTTGCTTTATTAATTAATTTCAAAAAATTGACTGCAAGAGGGTCAAGGTGGGTCAAGTGGTTGCAAGGGCTATCAATGGTTGTCTTAGTCATCTCATCATCTTCTTCTGAAGATGACTTAAATTATAGTCGAAATGTAAAGAATTAAAATGTTTACAATTTTCGGAGTGTCTATTGTTTTGTGTTTTAAAAATACCCTATGGCAACCGCAATTTCTAGTTTGGCATTTCTGGCAATTTTCTGCTTCCATAATTTTTTCCATCCCAATCCGTCATGGGATTTCAGGTATGTATATATTATCTCCACTATGTGTGCGAGTAGGGTTATTCTCAGCACCTTGCCTATATAGGACTTACTGGACATAATTTGAAACGATCTACAGCAGCTCCCAATCAAAATTGTTATATCTTGGCCTTTGCGACGCGTCTTGGACAGACCCTCTCCAAAAGACTACACCCTCAAAAGATGCAGGGACCTTAACATTGGTTAGCCTGACTATATGTTAAAATTAACCAATTTGTTTTATTACATGTGTTATGCACTGTATGTAACTTACATTTCTTTTCATTCATGGTATAGTTTACAGGCACATTATAAGCCCTCCTCTGTATATAAGCCTTCCATGTATATAAGCCCTCCATGTATAAGCCCATCAAAAAATGCTTATGAATGAATATAAGCCCAGGGCTTATATTTGGAGGTTTATGTTAACTGATTGAGTGCCAATGCTCTCCTAGGCTCGATTACCAGCCGTTGTTTAGACGCCGTTTACACGGTACCGGACCAGTCTGAAACTCATCCTTTTTCGCCTGTTTACACATGAATTCGTCCTGTTAGGGGGTCTCAAATTCGCCCGGTTCTGTGGTTCTCATGTGTTTACACGGCCAAATTTCAGACCGGTTCCAAATTTGTCCGGTACCGTGCAAACAGGGTCTTAGTGCTCTCCCCCTTGACAAGAAATATTGTGCAGTGTTCGATAAGCATAGGGCACATTGGGGAGCAATGCAACTTAATGAGTCAACTATAGACACATGGCATATAAACTAATTAAGTTGGCGAGTTCGCCCTTCATGAGTAAAATCGTTTGGGGTTGACAACTTGACAGAGAAGAATAAAGTAGCTAGGGCACATAGGACTCGATGCGATTTAATGTGTTAAATGTCGTCTTTTCACATATTTGCTATTTACTGTAGCAAGCTGGCACATATATATCCACATATTCACTTAATCAGGCAATGTTTTTCTATTAAATAATGTAGATTTGAAAATCAACATGAAATTCAAACACTTACTTGAGCTATGGATAATCGGCTTTCGAATAATTTTGTCAAATTTTCAATGTCACTTTTTATGTGAGCTTCCTCCAACGTTTTTGTGGTAACATCCTTCTAAAATAATTTAGAATTAGGCACAATTAAGGCCATGAAAAGAATGCGTTACAGAATTTCAATCAAATATAACGTATTAAATGAGTTGTGTATAACGTTTCGAATGAATAAATTTTTGCAACTCTATATAAACTTACCGGGATATTAGACAATTCCGTATAATTTGTTGAATTTTCCAGCACCTGAGCGAGCTTGTCTCCTAAACCTTTTGCAATTTTTTCAATTCTAGCAGAAATATAATTTAAACGTTGTTAAAAACTGGTAATTTCTAGCGGACGTTTTCTAGTTTCGGAATTTCGTATCACAATAAAAATTTATACCCATCTTCTTCGGCATGCACTCCTACAAGGCCAGTGGAGATAAAAATCAAAATAAAACTGAGCAAATTCATCGCTCCCTGTGTTGCTCAGAGACTCCAGACGTCGTATGTGTGAACAAAAGCAGCACACAGCACAATTAGACGTCAAAGCAGCGAATTCATTCGCTGCGGACACGTAGAAAATAGAGATATAAATGTTTAAAAGCTTATTTTGTTGACACAAGTGCAGATGTGTGGATGCATAATATGCGACAGGTGGTTCACTCGTACAATAAACGCAATTGGTCAATCCTCTACACTGAACGAACTATATTCACAAGAGAGGCACAAAAAATGAAAATAATAATATGGAGATTTTATCACTTGCCATGTCACACGTTCCACAATTTAATCGGTGGTGCATGATTATTAACTGGAGTTACTGGGCGAGAGTCATTCTTGCATCTATAATTTCCTAAATTTAATTCAAGAAACAAAATAAAGGATTTCGTCATCGTTAAAAAAAACATACAAACCGTATTTTATACTATTATTCAAATTTTACAACTATAGTATATATATTAAAACTCTCTGCAACGCTTGATCGGCGCAAACTCAACTCAGCTCGACTGAGCTAGTATACAACTTCGAAGGCCTTCAGAAAGTTCAAAGCCATTTGTAGGTTCTTGCGCATGCTCGGAGCCAAATGCCGTTGAGAAATATGGTCAAAGTCAAAATCAGGACCAGATTTGGTAATTTTAATTTATAGTTTTGGTAATATTTCACGATTTTTCTGATTTTTTTGGTAATTGAAAATTTTTGGTAATTTTTTTAGTAATTGCTCATTTTCTCTAGCCTGAGTGTCAGACGAATTCGTTACAGTATTCGTCTGACACTCAGAGGGCCCCCTATACCTCTTCACAATATGCTTTCACGTAAAAATATTTTGCCTTTTCACGAGTCACGGATTAAGAAAATCATCGATCACGTTTCACGGCTAAGTAAAATAAGCCCTTCACGCTTCACGCAAAAAGTATATAGGGGGCCTGATCACGTTTCACGGCTAAGTAAAACAAGCCCTTCACGCTTCACGCAAAAAGTATAGGGGGCCCTCACACTCAGACTACATTTTCTCTAAAAGTTAGTAAATTTTGGTTATCGCCAATTATCGCATGAAATTCAACCAAATACGCCATAATGACACAACCTGTTATTCAAAAATTCAATGAGAACACAGTGCAAGACTATGTCTGCAAACAAGCTGCTGGTCCAAGCTGTCCAGCTGAATCGACGGAATCCTGCTGATCACCATGTGCCGATTGCGGGCTAGCAGGCTTTCTGGCATCCTTGTGTAGAAAAGTAGGACAAAAGTAGGACTAGAATTTTAGGAAAAGTAGGAATAAAGTAGGAAAATGTGTAGAAAAGTAGGACAAAAGTAGGAGTTTTGGAGATGCAAATAACACAAAAATATACAAAATTGGCCCCTAGGATATATGTGGTAAGGGGTAGACCATTAGATATCTGATGGGGAAGTTGTGTGAATTTTTGGTGCTCAATATTTTTATGTACTCATTCATCTATGCAGGATTTTTTTTCCCAAAACTTTTAAATTCATCTGCTCTGCAGCAACAGAATTCAAATGCACGTATTGGGCTACACAATGCACCAATCCACACTACGGCAGGAGCATATATCAGGGAGGTAGGAAGCTCTATTTGATTGGGGGGGCTGAAAGCGAGGGCCGAAGGACCGAGGAAATTTTTAAATTTAGAGTCTCTGAAATGCTATTTCCTGGACTTTGGGGAAGATTTGACAGAATTCTAATGGTCAGAAAATAGCGTTTTACTGGGTTTTAGGTATGCCGAAATTTACCATTTAGTAGTACTAAATGGGCGAAGGCGTATTTAATTAACAATATATTGGATAAGTTGCAGGAAAGTATGGGTAATATCTTCATTCTTTGCAGTTTGTCATGGATTAAATGATAAAGGTCTGCATGATTTTGAAAAAAAATAGATTATTAGCACACTATTGGGGGGCTGCTACGGCTCTGTATATATGATGCTTGATTAACTGGGGAGGGGGGGGGTTGAATATTTGGAATATCTAGATCGTCGGAAATGGCACTTTCAGAGTCTTCATAATTTATTGATTATGATTCTAGAGATGCTATGAAATTATATACTCGGAAAATGTACTTCTTCTCCTCCTGAGATCTTATCATCTGGGACACAAATAGGGAATACAAATTGCGAGTACTATAGATCTAATTACGAGCGCTATAACATATACTGATTCCCCAAGCTGTCTTAAAAAAGTAGGATTTCATGAGAAAAGGTAGGAAAAAGTAGGAAAATCAAGCAATTTTTAATAAAAAATAGGAAAAGTAGGAAAGTTGAAGAAAAGTAGGAAAAAGTAGGAAAAGTAGGATGGCAAGAAAGCCTGGGCTAGGGACCCGGGGCCCGATCATCGCGACGCATATTTGCATTTTGCACAATTGCAACCAAAAAGTACAAGTGAGAAAGAAAAACATGGAAAATAGCATAGTTCCAGTGATGGAAACTGTTTTACTGATTTTGTTTTGCCGAGATGTTTTATTGATTTTCAGACCGACTTTGGTTGACAGCTGAAATTTAGTAATTTTTTCTACGTTTTTTGTATGCTTATTTAGTAAAATTGCCTTGCAAAATATCTGGTCACACTAATCAGGTCAAAATCCATTGCCAAAATCTATCAAAAGAGGCCAAACAACGTTTTGTGTAAAAGGCGGCCATAAACAGCCTAGACCTAGGGTATTCTATTTATATTTCAGCGCTTTTCACGCGAGAAGACTGGATTTTGGGGCCGGGGCAGTCGCTTAATTAACCTGGGCTGGGCCAAAAAGAAGCAAAAGCTGCAAAAAGCAGACTTCTGCGAAGCAGGGACGTGCTGGAGTCTTGAAAAGGACGACGAATAAGCGATGTCTGATGTCCCAGTGACGGATGGATCAAGATTGGGGTGAGGGTATTACTGATGAAACATTTCAGTCGCTAATTAATATTTTTCCCAAAAATTGTGGGGGGAGTAAAAAAAAATTCCGGACATACCATCAGTTCAGTAATTTCAAATTAATGTACCGTAATTTATTAAATTTTTCGTAAATACTTTCGTAAATTCAGACTTTCAAAATATGTATAGGTAATCAGTTTTTCAATTCAATTGCAGTATTATCCTCAATAGTTCTGGACAATGCTGATATGAAACATTCTTTTCATAATAATTCTGACTCGACAAGGACGCAAGAACCTTGGTAAACAAAGAAATTTGGGCAAAAGGCACACGGGTATATCGAGTGCTTAAGGTGCGAGTTTAGGGGTAAGGTGTGGGCATGTTTGTACAGACATTTCATACAGGCATTCACATGGGACGCAAAAAATCGGACGCAATCAAGCACTGCCAAGCGTACGAATCCCCGTGTTAACATATGGAAACGGACGAATCAGGCGTTCTTGGGATTTAAGCCGCGTTCACACTAGCGGCCCAGGCCTGGCCTGGACCTGGCCTGGGTCTAGGTGTGAACGGGTTTTACCTGGCCTGAGCCTGGCCTAGGCCTGGCCTAAGTCAAGAAATCCAGGCCAGCAAATGTAGGTG